GGCAAACCTCCTCTGAACAATATTGCCAAGAAAACCCCATGATAAGGTCTCCGTAAGTCAGAAATGACTTGAAGGCACACAGGAACAAATCTCTCTACAGCTGAGCTGTTGAGAAGTCTTTCTCTTTAGTACTGTCACAGCTGGCTGGGATGAAGATGGGAACTCCTCTATAATGTTGGTGTAGACAGATTCCATTTTGTTATTCCTGTTGTGGTACAATAAAGTCCAAGGTATTGTCTCTCTTCCCTGTATGTGTGACGCTCTTAGGCTGTAGCTAAAGGGTAGCTCATGTGTTTTCTGTTGTTTTGTTTTTTTACAGAACAAACAGAACTTCCACCATTTCTTAGTTTTGTTTTCCTCAGACAGCCCTTGGATATTCTAACAAAACTAAAGACTGTAATCCACGTGTCTAAATCCCACAGAAATAAGTGTGGTTTAAGTATGCGTAACTCTGTTTGGATTGTGTCCAGACTGTGGGTGTTTAATCCTTGGGTTTATGTATGATTTGCAACTATAATACTTGTTTGTGAAAATGCTTGGTCATACAGTATAATCTCACTGCCTGTAATTTAGTCAGGTAGAAATGTATATGATCAAGAAAGTGCCCATACACTCTGTTTTGATTTGTTTGTTTGTTTTTAACCTATGGGTATCATCTAATTCATTGACAGAGCTTGGGAAAGTTACTTTTTTCAGCTACAGTTCCTAGATTCTGGGGGTTGTAGTCCAAAAAGTGGCTTTTTCAAGCTTTACTTGATCAAGTACATTTAAAATATTACTGTATGGTACATATGTTGGTGAGTGTTGCCTATCCATAGATGATGGCTGGACAAAACACTTGTTCAGATATTGGCGTTGCAAGGAACCCCAATCCAAAAAATATTCATTTTTCATTGTGTTGTAAAACCTTGTTACATATAATCTGCATTTATTTATGAACAAGAAGGTTCTTTCAGAAGCTCAATAAGTACTATATCCCTGTCAAGCATAAAATGCTAATGTACCATGCACTAAAGCTATTGCATGAGGAATAAAACATGCAACCACTGTGGGCAAGTGTGGCAGTTTTAACATGGGAATTGGATTGGATAATGATATTTCACAGCTGATTTAATACATTAAGACTCAGTGTGTTTCAGTTGAAGATTCCTGTTACTTGTTGACGTTTTCCTGGCACTCAGCACTTGCAGTCAAGGATTTGTATGTCCTTGCATTTATCCAACAAAAATGTAACTTAATTATTTATGCCCTTAGTGGTTGTTTCACAGCATTTATATTTAATCATACAGCAGCTATCAATGGTAGGATTTTAAATAGTAGTTGAGAGTTGGGAATTCAGCAAGAATCAGATTCAGGCTGTACCTAACAGGTTCTCAGATTGCCATTTTTAGCTATTGAATATGTTTAACATCATTCCAGTTGATAGCCCTCAGTGACTCACAGAAGGTCCTTTATGATGAAGTGGACAAATATTTGAAGCACAGTGAGGCATAACAGAATGTGAGATCATGTACCTGTAAATCACAGCTATGTCTAATGCCTCTACTTTTGCCACCTGTACCTCCTTGCTGCAGTGTTATGCTTCCCCCAATCTCACCCTTAAGTATCAGAAGTCCTCACTTTGTTAGATTTTTCTAACTTTGAAATAGGAGTAGCCAATTTCATTTTGTCTCGTGCAACAGCAGTAACAATGATACCTTTTCACTCATACAATTTTTGGAGTAAGTTGATATTTAGAGGTTTGATGGTCAGGAGAGTGAAATTTCTTGGCTCTTCCTAACCTGTCCTAGGATGCAAATGCCACATGGGCAGCCACGTAGAATGAAGTTTCGGGAATGATCTGAAGTAAATATTTAGTCATTCAAATA